TTTTTTTTTGAGACATGGTGTTGCTATGCAGTTCAGGCTGGCCTTGAACTCTCTATGTAGCCTGGGCTGACCTCAGTGATCCTCCTGCCTCAGCCTCCCAAGTGCTGGGATGTCAGGCGTGTACCACCACTCCCAACATTAATTCTTCCTCTTAAGTATACCTCCGGAGCGACCCCGGAGTTGTCTTTGGTCTGGAAGCTGTGACTCCTGTAACTCAGTCCTAAGCACGAGTCAAGATGTCCTCTTGCTTTGAGCCGGCTCCCTGTCCTGGGGTGCTGTCCCTGCCGCACAGCGGGAGGACTCAGCAGATGTGACTGTCGCCAGCAGCTATCTGTGTTAAGGGCTCTGAAGAACAGCACGCCTCACTCAGCCACGCTGAAAGGTGACCCTGTGTGTGACCTGTCACACGAGACCCCGAGCACACATAATCCGGAGCCCGTGCTGAGCTCACCGGGGCAGCTCACCAGCCGGGGGCGTGGACCGGGCCGCAGTGTCCTGCAAGGACAGCGCTGTGACTCTGCCACCCATCTGGTGCCCGCGACCTTGACGGGGGTTTCTGTGCCACCTCCCCAGGGTATAAAAGTGGGGGCCTGAGGCTGGGGACCAGGAGGCTGCACCGGGGAGCCCAGGCTCAGCGTGTGAAACAGCGGCAGGTTCATCTCCAAGGTAAAGGTGTAAAACCTCAGCGTATGGGGTGGGGTCGCCTACACTTATGGGGGCTGGAGCCCTGCATCCCTCAGGCCTCCATCCTTCAGCCTATCAGCCTGGGGGGGTGGTCCCAGCCCTTTTTAACTTTCATTTAGAGACAGGCTTTGCTAAATTCCCCGGGGCTGGGCTCCAATGTTAATCCTCCTGCCTCAGCCTCCCTCAGGAACGGGATTATAAGTGTGCACCAGCAACACATTAGTTTTTAATTTTGATGCAGCAGAATTTATTATTTTTTAACAGGTCATGCTCTCGGTGTCACGTCTAACTCTTTGCCAAAGCTCGTCGTGAAAAGTTTCTCCTCCGCTGTCTCCTAAATATTTTGTATTTAAATCTCTGGGCCCCGGGAGGTTAACTTTTGTGTAAAATAGGGATTAGGCTGAGGTTTGTTGGTGTTGCTGTTTTCAACAGTTTAATGTCCGGTGGTTCCAAAACCATGTACTGAATAACCTGTCCTTCCTTTGTTGGTAGTGAGATTGCTCCAATATTCTTTATTTTCAAATGAGCCTTTGCCTTTTACATAGAAATTTTAGAATCAGAAATTCAGAAAATTTACATGTACTTTTTTATGTTTATAAAAAAATCTAGCTCAGATATTTTGTTTGTTTCTTGTTTTGTTTTCTGAGACAGGGTCTCACTATGCTGTTCAGGCTGGCCTTGAGCTCACTGTGTAGAACAGGCTGGCCTCAAATTCAAGGAGATCCTCCTGCCTCAGCCTTCCAAGTGCTGAAATTACAGACAAACATCACCATGCCCGGCTCCAGCTCAGATTTTGATTAAAATTACAATTAATAAACCTATCGTTCACCTGGGGAGAACTGCTATCTTTGCTATGTTGTGTCCCAATTCACTAACACCATCTCTCTCTCTCCATTTAGTGAGTTTTTCTTGTGTTTCATGTACTGGCATTTCCCAGTTTTGAGCAAGCATATTGGCACACGTTCTGTCAGATTTATACCTAGGTGTTTTAATGGGGTGGGGATGGGGTTCTTGCAATCACGTTGGGTTAGTGAGTTAGTTAGTTATTGAGGCAGGGTCTCACACTATGCAGTTCAAGCTGGCCTTGAACTCACTTTGTAGCCCAGGCAGGCGTAGATCCTACAGCAATCCTCCTGCCTCAGCTTCCCCAGTGCTGGCATTCGAGGCGTGCACCACTATACCGGTTTTTGATGTTGTTGTTTTTTGCGGTACCAGGGATTGAACTCACGACCTTGTGCTTGCCAGGCAGGCGCTTATGCCACTGAGCTATATCCCCAGCCCCACCATACCCAATTTTAACTGGAGCATTTGAGCTATTATTTCTTCAGACATATTTTCCTGCACCGCGCTTTCTTCTCTCTCACCTTTTTCAGCCGTTTGACCAGAAATCCGGGATCCGGGGACCCGGGGACGCAGCCAGCAGGGCGGGCACGCTCGCTCCTGCGGCCGCGACCACTGCGCCCCCTGGCGGAAATCGAGGCTCCTGCACGCGGGGTTGAGGCGCAGTGCAGCTCTTCTTCCTCCCTCCCTGGACCCGGCACTGGGCTCAGGCCAAGCGCTGATCCCGGGAGATGGCTGGAGCAGCTTCATGCATCATCCCCAGGGCTGGAAGCTTCTGTTCAGCGGAAGCCAGGGTCGTAAAGAAAAATGTAAACCGGGCATGGTAGTGCAAGTCTGTAATCCCAGCACTCTGGGAGGCTGAAGCAGGAGGATCCCAAACTCCAGCTCAGTCTGGGCAATTTAGTGACTTAGCAAGACCCTGTCTCAAAATAATAACAATACTTTTTTAGAGGATTAGCTCATTGCAAAGGCCCTGGGTTCAATTCCCAGTACTGCACAAAAAAGAAGAAAAATGTAAAACATGATTAAACATAGAAATGGGAAAAACAGTCACAAAGTAGTTTTGGGAGGTGCTGGCTAAGCAGGAAGCCTTGGCAGCAGACACAGGCAGCCGCTCTGCACCAGCCGCTCTGTCCGGAGTCTAGGACTCATTTCTAGGTGCCAAAGCGCTTAGAATAGACCAAATGCCTTGATTTGGGCTCCCCACCCGCCTGACCCGAGACCTGGGGGATCCTTTGCTGGTGCAGCACGAGGGCTCATGAGGCACCAGAGTCCCTTTCTCCTCTTTGGGGGGCTGGGCAGTGCTCGCCCTCCGGTGGTGTGGGCACCTCGCAGACAGGAAGGGGCGGGACGTGTCCTTGAAATGTGACCACCGTGTCACGACTGCCAGCAATGGCGCTAACTCACCTTGGAGAGGCCCAGTCTTTCTGCTTTTGACACGGGGTTTCCTCCTTATATACTCCACGCTGGTTTCCCACTTGAGATCCTCCTGCCTCAGCCTCCTGCCTGCTGGGATGACAGATACGTGCCACTGCCTTACTTCTATGTTTGCCTGAATGTGTCTCCCTCAAGCTGCCAGTCATTTTGTTTCCCTGAGGCTACAAAATTGGTGCTAGTCCTGCTATGGCTCTGCTCACGGTGAGGACAATGACCAGAACACGTGAAGAAGGGACAAGGTCGCTTGTCCCCACGTGCCGAGCATTGTTTTCCTGGAGGAGTTCTCACTTGTGTCCCTCATGGTGCCACGAGCAGCTTCCAGCAAAGCGCCCCACAGGGTTGCCACAGAACCCGGGAGGTGGAGGCGCGGAGGTGAGGACGTTGGTCTTCAGCCTGTCAGGTTCCGATAGCTCTTGTTTTTCTAGGATCTCGAGTTCATCATTAGGTTATTTACTGGAGCGCACTCTGTTTTTCTATTTAATTGTGTGTGTGTATGTGTGTGTGTGTTGTGTGTGTGTTTGGTCTTTTGAGACAGGGGCTCACTATATAGCCAGGCAGGCCTTAAACTCTCAGCAATCCTTCTGCCTCAGCCTCCCAGAGAACTGGAATTACAGGCATGCACCACCACACCTAACTAAAATCTGAATTTTTTGAGCACCGACATGATGCTCAGCGTGGAAAATTCCACGCCACAACACTGTTTCAGACACGCAATTATTACCTTCAAGCTATATATCCAAGATGCATATGAAACGTGAATTTCATATTTCAACTTGGATCATAGCCCCCAAATGGCCCACTGCATTTATACAAATATCCCCACCTCAAAGAACAAATTCAAAATCCAAAACACTTCTGATCCCAAGCATTTTTTTTTCCCAGTACCAGGAATAGAACTTACAACCTCGCACTTGCCAGGCAGGTGCTGTGCTGCTGAGCTAAATCCCCAGCTCCCCCAAGCATTTTGGATAAGAGAGATTCAGCCTATTTATTGAGAGCTTTATAGATCACAACACATTTCGCTTTTGTGACCAAACCTGAACTTGAGAGAAAGTTGAAGGCGAGGAGGAGGAGGAGGGGACGAAGGCGCTTCTGTACCAGGCGGCTGCAGCACCAGAGGTGAGGCTGCCCTCCAGCCCCTCTCCTTGCACCCTGCTCCGACGTCCTGGTCACTGTCTCCATGGTGACCACGGCCCACCCTTTAGCAGTGTGCCGTGCCGTTTTGGTTTGGATCTAAAGTGTCCCCCTAACGTCGTGCATGTGTGGCAGTGACTGGATCATGCGGTGTTGTGCTCAGCAGAGGATTCACTTGTGGACGAGTTCCTGGCTGAGTGAGCCGTTAGGAGGCAGCCTGGTTGGAGATGGTCCCTGGGTGTGACCCAGAGGGTGTTATCCTGTTCCTGGCTCTTCCCCTCTCTCCCTGCTTCCTGGCGGCCATGGGCTGGACCAGCCCCTTCTGCCGTGCTGTTTCTGTCTTGGAGCAGCCAACCACGAACTGAACCCCCTGAAACCACAAGCCAGTTAAGCCTCTCCTTCTTTAAACTGCGGGTGCTGGGCATTATGTTCCATCAGTGAAAAAGTGGCTAATACACCCTCCTTCAGCACTTCCCCTGGGACACCAGCACCCAGGCAGCTCAGGTGCAGACCGCACCTGGCGCTGGTGGGCACTTCTGCATGACTGGTGTTTGACCCAACTGTGGGACCCACTGAGCTCTGACACTTGAGAACATTTTCTTCATATGAAAAAGGGAGGGGCTGGGGATTTAGCTCAGTGGCACAGCACCTGCCCGGCAAGCACAAGGTTGTGAGTTCGATTCCTGGTACTGGAATAAAAGCAAAGAAGAAAAAAAGGGGGGGGAATTCTGATTATCTGACATGTACAAAGTATGATAGACAAATATGGTGAATATTTAAACCAAAAAATTGCTCCAGTAACAGACACCTCGCCTTGAAGGCCCCCAGAATCCTCCCCCACACTTTCCACACACTCGTCCCATCATCCCCGCCATTTTCTGTAGCAGCTCTGGAGTCCTCTTTCCTGAGTGTCTTTATTTATTTACTTACCCACTTTTTTTTTGTCTTTTTGAGACAGGGTCTCGCTATGCAGTTCAAGCTGGCCCCGAGCTCACTTTGTAGCCCAGGCTGGCCTTGAACTCGCAACAATCCTCCTGCCTCAGCCTCCCGAGTGCTGGGATTACAGGTGTGCGCCACCAAACCCTGCCCTGAGTGTCTTTAGCTGCACTGTTGTGGCTGCCTCAATGTCCTGAATCGATTAAAAGTGCTCCCTTTCATGATCATGTTGACTGGGGAAGAGCCAGAAGTCCCACAGTGCCAGATCTGCTGAGTAAGGTGGATGAGGACACAGCGTCATGTTTTTGAGTCTGCCTTTCTGTTGGACGGCCCTCATCGGTTGCGTTCATTTAATTTTGATTACACTGCATAAAGACACAATAGAGGACTTCCAGAACTGCTTCAGAAAGTGGCAAGAATGGGGCCGGGTCTGGTGGCGCACACCTCTAATCCCAGACCTCAGGGGAGGCTGAGGCAGGAGGCTTGCTAAGAGTTTGATGCCAGCCTGCACAGCAAGCCTGTCAGAGAAAAGGGAGGACGCCTCCACCTGACGGAGGGACGGGACTCACCGGGATCCCTTTGCCTCTCTAGGGCATGAACCCCCAGTACACACGCCGCGAGGTCTTCTGCGGGAACACCTGCCACGACCTCACGCGCTTCTGGGAGCGGGAGATCTGCAAGCAGACTCGTCGCCGGCAGTCCGAGGAGCACCGCCTGGGCCGCAGCGCCCTGAGGAAGTACGCAGCCCCCACGGGCGGGGCGGGGTTTTGAGTTCAATGAATCAGCTTTTACAGCTAAGCTTTGCTTCTAGACCACCTTCAGTCCATGGCCAGTTTGGGCCGCAGTGGCGAGTGGGTCCATGTGTGCCCCTCCCCCAGCTGCAAATCCCTTCCTTGACGATCACCAGCCTCCTGGTTGTTATCTTTACAAACAGAACCGATTCTTTCCCGGTGCCACAGGGCGTCATAAGGACGTCGTTTTTTTAATCGTGCCTGCGTCTGGTCCTTGAATTCTGTGTGAATGGACGGAATCTCTGTCACCACTTGCAGCCGTGTATGGGGGACACACGTCTGTGAAAAGCAAGCAAGTGGCCCATTTCCAGCACTCACCTGGGGGAGACCCCTGCCTGGTTCCCAAGGAGAGCTGGAGCTCCCCTCTTCCCAGTTCTATGCAGCCCAGGGTGACTGTCACTTTTTTTTTTTTTTTTTGGTACAGGGAATCAAACTCAGGACCTTGCACTTGCCAGGCAGGCGCTTGTGCTGCTGAGCTATATCCCCAGCGAGTGACTGTCACAGTGGGACAGTGCCAGCCCACTGCCCCAAGCTCGCTGTAGGACTCACCCTACACTTCAGAAGGTCTTTGACCTTGTGATCCTCCTGCCTCAGCCTCCCGAGTACCCTGGAATTACAGGTGTGTACAACCACACCCCGTTAGAAAACATTTCTCTTTCACCTGTTTTTGAAGGGTAGATTTGTTGTGGGAAGACTTCTAGACTAGACAAGGTTTTCCCTCCTGTATTTATTTATTTAGGTACCAGGAATCAAACTCAGGACCTTGTGCTTGCCAGGCAGGCAGGCGCTGTGCTACTGAGCTATATCCCCTGCCCTTCCCTCCTGTATTTAAAGATACTGCACTTGAAAGAAAAGTTAAAGGTGGGTGTCGTGGCCCACACCGGTCCCAGCACTCAGGAGGCTGAAGCAGGAAGATCACTATGAGTTCAAGGCCAGCTTGGGCTACATAGCAAGACTCGATTTGTATAAATAAATTCATATTAGCATATATTTAAATTTGCAAGTCCCCTGCATGCCCTTTTAAAATCTGAAGGCTCACACAGTTTTGGTGGGGCAGTGTCCCTGGGCAGGCGACGGGGAGCTGCTGCTTCCTGCGCTCTCGCTCCATTTCCAGGCTGCGGGAAGAATGGAGGCAGAAGCTGGAATCCAAGCTGAGGCTGCGGAACCCGGAGGAGACGGAGAGGCGACCGAGCCCCAGCTGAGCGGCAGCCTCTGCTTCCCTAACCCCCCGGGGGTCCCTGCGGAGGAGTCAGCCAGCCTGCAAACCCACGGGGCGGAGGGGACGGCCCCGTCCATCCCGGCCCCGCCCCTGGGGGGACCTCAGACCCCCTCACTCTGCCCGGCTCCACCCCCGAGCTCACGCGGCAGCTGCTCTCACCGAATCATCTTCCGGTTTTGGAACCCGCGTACTTTTAATTCCTGAGCGCGCCGGAAGGGCTCCCATCTCCGTGCTCAGCTTCACACACTGCCTGGCAGTCTCGCTCCGTCCTTTCTCCGAGAAAATATGGTTTCCTGCAGCCCTTTCTCGTGTTTGCTTCTGATGAAGAGAGAAATGCCCCTCTCTGCAGAAATAGAAATAGCGTAAATAAACGTGAAATAGGTTTGAAATAAATTGAGCCTTGTGTGAATTTGAATGGCTTTGTCAAAACCACATTCATGGGGGCTGGGGATATAGCTCAGTGGCATAAGCGCTTGCCTGGAAAGCACGAGGTCGTGAGTTCGAATCCCGATACCGGAAAAAAACAAACAGCAAAAACCGCGTTCATGTTGATGCTATCGGAATGGTTGCAATAGAGTCTGGCGCGGTGCCAGCCCTGCGTGCGCCCTGCCGGTGCCCAGCTTAACTCCAACCCCGCACGTTTCAGCTGGTTTCTGCGGCCCCACTCTCCTGGCCGTGTTCTGGACATCGAAAGGCCGCTGTCCTCACACGGAGGATCCCGAGGCCACAGCTTCTAGGAGCGCAAGCAGCGGGCAGGTCCAGGAATCGTCTCTAGGCCGGGGCGGGCACCAAGGACGCTGGGTGGTAGCTCTGAGTGCTTCCCGGCTGACGGTGACCGTCTGCGACACCAAAGGGCCTCGTGAGCACCAGGACGGGTCACCGCGGTCCCAGGGACCCCCTGGCCTGCCCCCCCAGGCGTCTCACTGGGCCCTCATGCGATCGCTCAGCAGCTCTGTGCGCGTCCCTCTGCGGCCCTCCTCGCGCCCTCTCCTCCTCACGCTGGACTAACTGTAAAAGCGGGCGTGCGTCCGGGGGTCAGTGACGCTGCCATAACTGAACACACCCCGGCTCCTATGAACAGCGATAAGGGGAGTCCGGCCAATGGACGGCAGGTGCCTGCGCTCTGAAGCGGCTCTGACGCTTTACCTGCCAAGGTCCGAGGGCTGGTTTTCCCCTACGAAAAGTTTTTCAGGAGTTTTTTCCCTGCCCAGCCCCAGCTTCTCCTATCTCAGCACAAGTGATGCCTGCTTTCTCCTGACGCAGGCTAAAATCTCCTCACCGCAGCTCTACCCTACTCCCCACACCCTTCATCCACACCACGCGCAAACCCTCCCAGCTTTGAGGCGTGGGCTCCCCTCCTCAGGGTTGCAGGGTTTAGGCTCAGGAAGTGAAAAAAGTGCCGGAACCAGCTCCTAGCAGCACCACCTCTGGTAGCTGGTCCCGTGTCACCATCCACCGCCTGCTGAGCGACAGACTGGCCCCGGAAGGCCGCCCGCCGCGGTGGCTGGGGAGCTCTGACCCTGCGTGGGCTGTTTTCACCGGTGCATATAACAGCAGTAGCGTGGCTGGCCCTCTCAGCCTGCTCTCCTACCAGGGGACGGATCTACACGAGTCCTGGCGGGTCCCAGGAGCAGAGGCTGTGGGTCCCTGAGGTCCCCTTCCAGGACAGCCGTGAACCCTGGCTGCAGGGGAAAGCGGGGAACAAGATCTTTGAATGGGGAAGGCCGTTTCTGCAGGGAGAGGTTTTATTATTTAAGAGGCCCACGGGTGAAGCAATGTATAATTTCTTGGGGCTCGAACCTCTTCCGGGCTGAATCTGCACTGAAACTCAAGAGATTTTTACTGATGGGTATGTTTGGGTTACAAATGTTTTAGGTGGGTTTTTTTCTTTCTTTCTTTTTTTTTTTTTTGCAAAATATATACACATAAGTATGCATAGAAGGAAGTTGCTCTTGTAGGAATGATACGTAAATTTTCATGTTTGCCTGTGTGCATCTTTCTTTCTTTCTTTTTTTTTTTTTTTTTTTTTTTTTTTTTT